TTTTTGTTGCTTCCAATGAATACAGATTAACAGGAGATATCCATTAAGGGCTTGCTTACAATTACAATTCAGAATCATTTATTTAGCAGAAACTTTTATCCATGAGTGAGGTCAGGTCAGGAGGATGTGTTTCGCTAACCATAGCTAGAATCCCCCCTGTGAAATATAAGATACCCTGTCCTGAGAGCACTAAACACAATCTGTCTGTATACGCCGCCTGTACCCCGAATACAAAGGATCTGTGTGCTGATTAGAATTCAAATAAAAAGTGTGAAGAGCGGCAAGGGAGCTAAGGAGCTGGGAATGAGCATGGAAATAACGTAAAGAATTCAGCAGAGATAAAGAACGTAATGTGTAAAGCCTCCAGAGAGTAAACAATGCTTGTTTTGAAGCCACAACTCATTCAAGGCCTTCAGCAAGCTTGCAAAGGATCACGTTCATAATATGAGGGCTGAAGGATCTGCTCTGGTTCATAAGATTTTTTGGAAAATATGCAGTGATACATAAGACTAATAGATGAGAAACTAAAAAATTCATTGCCAACTTTAGGAGTAAACCAAAACAATACAAAACCAGAGCAGAAGGTACAGAACAGCAGAAAGTGGTTTACAGTTTATAAAACATCCTGTGTGCTGGATGTCTGTGACAGAATCCTGTGAGCGCATACAGTAACTGCCTCATCTGAAATACTTACACACAGCACTGTATGTAAAAACAGACAACTATATCAGAACTGCCCATACCATACAACGAATCTCAGGTGTTTACTAAACAGCTACACATCTAGATTTTTAATGTATTTTTTTAGTAGATTTTTTACTTTCCATTCATCAAAGAAAAAAAGTGTTACAGTTTTCACAAGATATTAAGCTGCACAACTGTTTTTAGAATTCTGCATATTCTGATACAATGATTCTGAAGGATCATGTGACACTGAAGACTGGAGCAATGACTGCTAAAAATTCAGTTTTGCCATCACAGGAATAAATTACATTAAAAAAAAATATTAAAATAGAAAACAGATGTTTTAAATTGCAATAATATTTCAAAATATTACTGTTTTTAATGTTGATCAAATAAATGCAGCCTTGGTGAGCGTAGGAGGCATCTTTCAAAAACACTGATGTGAAATGGTATGAATGGTAGTGTAGCTTGTCCAAATGACTTACAACACTACAACAATGACTTATGAGAAGATTTGAAGTGGTCTTCATTAACGGAGCTTCAAAAATCTGTGTACAGTATGTGTGTGTGAATGTGTGAACGCTGATCTTTATGCAATGCACTTCAGATAAAAGCTTGACAGTTACTTCAAATATGTTTTTGTGTCTTATCAGTGATGTAATGTTTTTACTAGTTCAGACGACGCCGCTGAGAGAGGGAGAACTAATGAGAAAAGAACAAGAGATTGCAAGTATGAGAGCAAAATAAAGTGTTTTGGGCCAAAAATGAACAAAAGTAAAAGAAATCTTAATCCACAATCAACTCTTTAAAGCAGGCCTCTTCAATTAATATCCCAATTTTAATAATTTTCTGCTAGATGTAAGTGTTTCTCATGACAAATAAAAAAAGAATGTTGTATGGCTGATGTTTTATGTACCAATAATATATTATACTATATCGCTGAACTGCTGTCTGCAGATAGCTAGTAGTTTTTGTTGCACTAAGGAGAAGTTCTTGGCTTACTTGAATAATGCTGCTTTAAAGTGAAGGTGATGTGTAAGAGATATTGTTTGACCGAAGCAGCATATTTCTCTTTCCTCATTCCACACACCCCACATCAGAACACAACTAACTGATCCTACAACAACACAGAACAGACAGTGTTATAAAACAAGATGATGTGGGGGCTGTCTGGACTGTACATCTCACCATATATGAGAGAATAAAGCTTATTCTCCACGGTCTGATATTCCAGACACTAATAAATGTTCATGCATTGCATACACAACATGCTTTCTAGATTCTGTTCCTCACTATAGTGTATTGCATCAGTGACATGAGCGATGTGTTGAGGGTGCTGAAGCCCACTGTAAACTGTGGTGTCAGAAAGACAGAAAGAGACAGAACGGAGCTGTCAGTTCCACTCAGGGGTGTCTGTGATCAGAGTTTGTCGCACATGGTACCGATAAGACATTAGTGTTCACAGGCCTCACAGCATCCCACTTGAGGCAGTATCCTCTCTCCATTTCATCATCTCTTTCTTATGAGGAACAGATTAAACTTAATTCACCCACTTTATCTCTCATTTCATGGATGTCTGATGCCTTGGGGTATGTAATTGTGTGAAAATAGAACGATTTGCATTTTGGAGTGGTGTGTGTGTGGGTTTGTCTGTGCAGTTTCATCTTCGGATAAAAGTAAACTCATTCCCAAAATAGCAAACTATTAATGCAGTCATCAAGTTTGGATTTGCCCTCTCAGGTCAAACGGATTCTCTAACCAAATCAACTCAGTTCACACAGTTACTTGTATAGTGTGCATCTATGAGATAAATAGCACTACTAAATGGTCAGTGTTTTGTTTTTTTATGAATCTGACAGCAGAAATAGTTCACCCAAAATCCCATAAGACTTTCATTTTAGAGTTACAGGAGTAAGAGTTTCAGTAACAGTGACTGAAATTTTCAGTTCATTCATTCTAGTAACTTTAAATGGGGGCAAAATCACACAGGTTTCTTTAAAAATATCTTCATTTGCGTTTTGAAGATGAACTAAAGTCTTATGGGTTGAGGCCGACATGTAAATGATGACAGAATTTTCATTTTTGGGGTGAACTATCCCTTTAATTAATCATTGAAAAAGAATCACAAAAATAGAAGTTACTGCTTAAATCAGTCTGATAGACTATTAACTGAATTAATTTAGTACATCCATCTGTGCAGTCACTGAATAAACATCAATTAATCTGAATTTATGTAATCTTTATTAAACAACATAAAAAAAGAATGTATGAATTTGTATATTTCACAGGATTATCTGAGTTTTTTTTATATGCAAGCACAATATAACAGATTATAACAGAAAAATGCACCTAACTGAATCTGATTAAAATCAAATTGAATCAAAGTATGAATTAATTATCAAAAGAATGAATGAAATCAAATTAAACCATTAAATAAAATCTAATTGAAATCTTGTGAATTGGAACCAAATTGGTTTCAGCTTGGACAAAACATATTTTGTTTTCCAAAGAAAAAAACATAAATCATACGTAGAGCAACATGGGGGAGAGTAGATTTTTGGGTGAACTAAATTACTTAAAAATTATTAAAATGCTGTGTGTACATGCTCCTGTTATTACCCAGGGAAAGAAAAAGAGCTCCATATAGACAAAGCCTTTTGCCGTGGATTAAAGAAACACCATTTTGCCTCACAGACAGGAAGTAGTAAGTACAGTTAGCATACTGCTACCAGTTGACATTTTAGCATACAAACACACACACACACACACACACACACAAACAACCAACCACATGACAGACACAGTGCAGCATTAAGATCCCTCAAAGCAATTTACAGGGCGCATTAAAGCCAAACCTGTCTATAAAAGTAAATTATAGTTCAGTCAAATGAAGACATGCCACCCTGGCAATGCCTGACACATTAAATCATTTAGCGGTGCTTAAAAGTGTCCAAACACAACTTAAAAACTACTAGTGGGTCAGTGGGTACAGCTGGTTCAAACAACAGCTTATAAAGCCCAACTTTTGCCAGATCACACAAGACCTAGTTCATTTGGGAGAGGACAGAAGACTCTCATGGCTGCTGGCTGGTCCTCACAGTTACTCCCAGCACGACTCACAATGAGGCTCTGGCTGACACTCAGAGAATGCAGCCAAACACACACACACACACATACAGTCACAGAGCAAAGCAGCCAGAAACAGCACACAAACACAGCTGAGACACACGCTCACATTAATCACACACTCACTCACACACATGCAATCTTTCGCCATCACACAATAGCCATCCATCCTGTTTCTCTTCTTTTGTCTTCTCCACTATTTGCTCTCCTGTCAGTGGGACATGGTTTACAAACAGTGACAGTGGAGTGAACGAGAAGTCAAAGTCAGACGTGAACTGTGGCCAGGGCAGGACAATAGTTGTGTGGTGATCTCCTTGTGTGAGCCTGTATAAACAATAAATAACAAATATGGCTGCCTCACAGACCCTAAACACTTGTGGATCATTTCCCATTCCCAGGTGATGTCTAGTTCTGCACTATGAGCAGTGTTGGGGAATATCTACTAAGAGAAGTGACACTACTAAGTTATTTTTTTCTTCAGGCATGCGACAGCAGTTTAGTCGTTTCCAAAATAGTGTAGCTTTTTCCAGCAACATTTTCCAATGAGCAGCATGATGAAATGCTACATAGATGCTATTTGTCACAGTGTGTTGTGCACACAGCCAAGTAAAAGAGGAAATATATTCTCTCTCAAGTAGCATTGGGAAGTCAGATTTATTTTTAACGAAATGGTTCGGTCAGACCATAAACACATTTCATTACACCAAATACACAAAATAATGTTCTTTTTAGCAGCATCATATGACCCCTTTAATAAACCTATTAAAAAAATACACAGTCCTTATGCAATATTTCATGTTTAAAAAATAATAGATATTAAAAATTTTGTCAGATTTAGTCAAATGCTGCTTGGAGTGTTTTCATTAGCTTGGTTTTAACTACAAATGTATGTGTTTTATTCAGTATAAGTTACATGCTGTCACACAAATTAAGATCCATTATCTTTTTGGGCCAGAGAAAAAAAATAGTTTTATTATCTGATAGTTGATTTTATAATCTACTCTTTTGAAAACTAGTTTCAGTAGCTTGACTGTAGTTTGACGACTTTATACGTTTTTTAATTTACACAAAGTTATTTCCCAGAGAAAGATTTCCCAGCGCTGACAAAGAGACACGGTATAGAGATTCCTTCTTCATAACTATGTTTAGTTCTTTATTGGGATGCAACTAATGTCACCGGTCAGTCCTACCTTCCTCACACTGAGATCCGCTGTATCCAGGACAACATTTCCACTCCAGAGAGGTGATGGTGCGGTACACGACTTTATAGGATGGCCGGACCACAGTGCGATAGCTGCAACACACACATAAAATGTAAGACAGTTTGAAAGTTTTATTATATTTTCACACTAAAAAACACTATAGAGTTCACTCAACAATGAAAATATCGGTGACACCTCTTTTCACAATGCAGCTAGCATTGTAGCTTTCTCATTCTATAATATTATTTATTCAGTAAAAAATTATCATTATTTAATTGTTAAATTGTCTTAATTATGGAAACCGGAGAAGTATTCTAGAAAGACTTATGGTTATATGTTAGTCAGTTTCCACAAAAATATTTAGCAGCACAAATGTTTTCAACATTGATAATAATAAGAACTATTTCTTGAGCAGAAACCAGCAAATTAGAAGGATTTCTAAAGGATCATGTGACACTGAAGACTGGAGTAATTGCTGCTGAAAATTCAGCTTTATGATCACTGGAATAAAATACATTTTAAAATGTTATTTTATTTTTAAGTGTCATATTTCACACTGTTTTTACAACTAACTGTTTACAAAGAAAAGCAGCCTTGGTGAGCATAAGAGATGACTTTACAAATATTTTTAAAAATATATACTGAAGCGTATATACTTCAGAATCAGAATCAGAAAGAGCTTAATTGCCAGGTATGTTTACAAATACGAGGAATTTGTTTTGGTGACAGAAGCTTCCACAGCACAATCAGATTACAGTTACAAGACAGATAGTAAAAATAAGTAAATAGGAAATAATAATAAACAACAAATATTTAAAAAATACACAATATATAAAAATAGACAATATATGGTATTTGTGTGTACAGGAATAAAATGTACAAATGCATGGAAATGTGAATAAGAAGTATGGTGTGTAAAATAAATAAATGTATAAATAGTGTTGAGTATTACATGTTTATTGCCAAGTTAACTGTTCATGAGATGGATTGCCTGAGGGAAGAAGCTGTTCTTATGCCTGGCTGTTTTGGTGCTCATTGTTCTGTAGCACCGACCAGACAGCAACAGTTCAAAAAGTAAGTGGCCTGGATGTGAGGGGTCCAGAATGATTTTGCCGGCTCTTTTACTCACTTTTACTCACACCCAACAGTTCTTGGAGAGTGGGGAGGGTTGTACCAGTGATTTGCTCAGCAGTCTGGACTATCTGCTACAATCTTCTAAGGTCTGATTTCAGCTGAGCTGAACCAGACAGTTATTGAAGTGCAGAGAACGGATTCAATGACTCCAGAGTAGAACTGATACACTACTCAGCTGGCGAAGGAAGTACAGCCTCTGCTGGGCCTTTTTGACAATGGAGTCAAATGTGGAATGTGGAACTCCCACTTCAGGTCCTGAGAGATGGTTATGCCCAGGAACCTGAATGACTCCACAGTTGCCACAGTGCTGTTCATGATGGTGAGTGGTGGGAGTGCAGGGGTGATCCTCCTGAAGTCCGCTATCATCTTCACTGTTTTGAGCATGTTCAGCTCCAGGTTGTTATAACTGCACCATACAGCCAGCTCTTTAACCTCCTGTCTGTAAGCAGACTCATCATCACCGTTCTGGATGAGGCAGATAAGTGTGGTGTCATCTGCGAACTTCAGGAGCTTGACAGAGGGGTCTTTAGAGGTGCAGTCGTTGGTGTATAGGGAGAAGAGCAGTGGGGAGAGCACGCATCCTTGAGGGGCACCAGTGGTGATGGTGTGGGTGCTGGATGAGAATTTTCCCAGCCTCAACTAGCTGCTGCCTGTCTGTCAGGAAGCTGGTTATCCACTGACAGATGGAGGTGGGCACAGAGAGCTGGGTTAATTTGGACAGGAGGAGGGAATGATAGTGTTTAAGGCAGAGCTGAATTCCACGAAGAGGATCCTCACATAAGTCCCTGATCTGTCTAGATGTTGCAGGATGTAGTGCAGTCCCATGTTGACTCTATCATCCACAGACCTGTTTGCTCGGTAAGCAAACTGCAGGGGGTCCAGTAAGGGTCCAGTGATGTCCTTCAGGTAGGCCAGCACCAGTCTTTCAAATGACTTCATGACCACAGACGTTAAAGCAACAGGTCTGTAGTCATTCAGTCCTGTGATTTTGGGTTTCTTTGGGATGGGCATAATGGTGGTTTGAAGCAGGAAGGGACTTCGCACAGCTCCAGTGTTCTGTTGAAGATCTGTGTGAAGATAGGGGCCAGCTGGTCAGAACAGGATTTCAGACAGGCTGGTGTAACACCGTCTGGGCCTGCTTTTCTTGTCTTTTGTTTCCGGAAGACCTGACGCATATCCCTTTCACAGACCCCGAAGAGCAGGAAGGGGGAGAGGGGGGTTGATGGAGGTGTTAATAGATCCATGGAGAGAAGGTCAGAATGGGTGTGGGGTGTGAGACAGGGTTTTTTGGCGCTTTTCCACTGCATGGTACGGCACGGTACGTTTCACTTTTGGGAGGTTTTCCACTGGGTACAGTACCTGGTACCTGGTACTTTTTTCAGTACCACCTCGGTTGAGGTTCCAAGTGAACCGTACCGTTACCAAAATGTGATGTGTATACTCTGCTGATCACTGATTGGCCGGAGAGAATCGTCACTACCTGCGTCACTGAACTTGCGACACAGAGAGACAAAACAGACCCGCTAGATTTAAATCAGCACAGCCAGCGAACGATCGAACACAACTGTTTTGAACGAGCGCACCTTTTTTTAACAACCAAAAAATGACTGTTTCGTTGTCTGTTGAGGAAGTACAGACTTTCCACTCGTTGATAGCAGAGGAGCGCATCCAGTGAGAGTTTGATGGGGCGACGTGGAATGAAAAAGGTTTTCAGGAGTCGCGGCAGTAGAGGTGGCGCAACTACAACGACATGTGAATAATCCTGCCCACCCTAAAGCGGTACTAAACTACAGTGGAAACGCAAACCGAGCCGTGCCGAGCCGAGTCGTACCACGCAGTGGAAAGGCACCATTTCAAACCTGCAATAGAACTCATTCAAATGGTTGGCCAGTTGTTGATTCAACACAAGGCTGGGAGACGGTATCTTGTAATTGGTGATGTCTTTCAGTCCTTTCCACACTGATACGTCACTTCCTGTTTGTTGCTGCCATGTGTTTTGAGTTTGAGCTCCATTAAGTTAATTCTTTATCTTCTATTTTTTTTATCTTAAAATCTATTTTATACACCATCATTTTCGTTTATATAACGTGTGAATATATCCCCTATCGTATTCTACAACAAAAACAATCAGAGCGCCTTGTTATCACTAGTTCTATTTTGATTTCGCGAGTCCGCTATTAGCATATAGCCCGTTAGCATTGCCAGCATGGTTGCCGCTAATCTCGCTTACATTGCTGGAGGCCATGGAGAAACAGATCCGCGACCTGGTGGAGAGGCAGACCCAGCTGAGAGAGCGGAGAGGGAAACATCCCGGGCTGACGCTAACAAGTTCGGGGTAAGTATACAGCACACTGCTAACTCTCCCACCACCTCTACTCCGTGTGTTTCTCTGCACAGGCCCGGTGCACCCAGGACGCGATCCTCCCAGATGTCCTTCACTCCGGCGCCGGGACACCACGGACCCTGGGTGCAGCCGCAGCGGAAGACGCGAGCCAGGCCCC